TAAATGGGATTTCTCACAGCTAGTAAACAACAACAACAACAATAAAAACACCCTCAGACAGATGTTTGCTTATTTAATAACAATCAGAGGTAAACACAGTGGCCCCAAAGTATCTGTGCAGAGTTTTAGTTTGTAGGTGTCAAAGTGAAATACAATAAAGACATATCTACTGACTCACGTATTTTCACATCAGTCATTCTTCTGGCATTATGTAACTCACATTGAGTTACATGATAAAATCACTTGAATAATGTAATATCTTAAATGGTCTGAGGGCTCCTCCTCTGGTGGCTTCATGTTATAACTGTTTAGGCACTGAGGGGGTTTTGTTCAACTCTATGGATGTTTTGATGCTGTGGTTCTCTTCCACAGTAATACACAGCAGTGTCTTCAGTCTGCACAATCTGTCCACTTGCAGTCAGTGCTTTGCTGGAAGAGTCTAAGTTGATGTTAAACTTATTCTTTACTAAATCTTTGCTGAATGAATCACCAGGATTATATTCAGATCCATACCAGTCCTTTCCCTGCAGGCAGCAATAAGTAATGATAAATAAGTGTATGTTTAAGAAAGATACTATTAAAGATTAATGCATGTGGTCTGAAAACCAAACAAGATGCTGAGTGCAATTTATAGTAAATATTTGAAATAGATGATCAAGTTGATGACTAATCCCAACAGATGTTAAATATTTTGGAGATTCTTGTGCCTTTGTTGTTTCTTCTTGTGTTAATGAGATTGAACTGCAGTTCATTACTATAAATGTGAACAGAAGAAAGTAAATTGTTCCCTTTTGTGATGTGCTGAGTTTTTGTACAGAGTTTCTTCCTCTTGTGTCACTGTGGCTCTCGAGCACAATAATAAACAGCAGAATCTTCAGTTGTCAGGCTGTTCATCTGCAGATACACCTGCTTTCTGCTGTTGTCTCTGGAGATGGTAAACCGGCCTCTGACTGACTGAGAGTAGTAGATGCTGCTACTGCCAGGGTTGATATAAGCAATCCATTCTAGTCCTTTTCCAGCAGTTTGTCTGATCCAGTGAGCATAAATATCACCACTGAACCCTGAGTATGTACAGGTCAGTCTGTGGGAGTCTCCAGGCCTTTTAATCACTGATTCAGACTCAGTCAATGTTTGACCCTCAGTACCTGCAGATAAAAACATAATTAGTGACTGTATTTCAAGCATATCATTTGTCATTGAGTCATAATGTTTGTAAAAGAAATATTTCTGTCCTTACCAACACAGTAAACTGACAGGACAAGAATAACAGCCGTCAACGCTGGATGGTTCATTGTAGGAGCCATTTGTCTCTGCCCAGTCCACATTGGTGTGATTCAATCACGTAGTCCTTGTTTTTTATCCTGTGACACATATTCAAAGATGGAAGATATAATTTTGCATGTGTTCCTCCTCAAAGAGAACCACACTCCAGGTCACAGAAATTTAGCATTCAGCAAGTTTACAGGCTATCATTATACAAGAAATCAATACTACAGTGCTTAAAATTATTACACCACTTGTCATAAAGAAAATTATAAATCTGTCAAAAACCTGTTTTTTGGAAATAGCTGGTAGACATGACTCCTCTGTCAGAAAAGTTAGAAATTAATCAAGCTTAACAGTCAACCAATAAAAGTATTTTTTTCTATTTAGCAAATAAATATCTGTAATTTAACATCTTAATATACATAATAATGTGATTTCCTTTTTTTGCTATTTTTAAATAAAACATAATTTAAAAACTGCATGGATAAGATCAGTAATTAACAACATTAAAAAATATATATTATTATAAGTACTTTAGGGTAGCTGTGTCATAAACCTTACACTGGGTGGTGGTCTATTACATTTATTAAAGCATCTATGGGGGTTTTTGTCTGTTTTTTCTGCTCAGAAAGAATTTTTATACTGATATTAACCAGGAAAAGAAACTCTGAGATTCAGAATCTCTTTTGACTCTTTTGAGTATGTAGGACCGTTCAGAGTGATGGAAACAGGAATTCATAAACTATATGATGAGCTGTTGTTGTGTGTACCTGTATGCATATTAAAGAAAATAACATTGTATTGACAATAAGGAACAGAAGACCACAAACCACAACAGCAGCTGCTCCCTCTTAGTTTGCATTTGTACATTCATATTTAGAGCCGTACTTTTTAAACAACAAAGGAACTGATTGAGTTTTTGTATATCTTCAACATTTCCTCGTACTAATGTGTGTATCAGACACAGTAATACTGTGGACAGAAGAGTCCTCTGGTTTAAAGTTGGAGAGTATGAAAAACAACATACTCTTTTCTCTGTTTTATTTTGGCGTAATTCAGAAATATCATTAAAAAAGAGACTATTAAAGATTAGAACATGTGGGCTGAAAACTAAATAAGACTTTCATTTCTGTAAATATTTGAAATGGATTATTAAACTGATTACTAATCCCAATTGATATTGTTAAATATTTTGCAGATTCTTGTGCCTTTGTTGTTTCTTCTTGTGTTAATGATGTTGAACTGCAGTTCATTACTATAAATGTGAACAGCATAAAGTAAATTGTTCCTTTTGTGATGTGCTGAGTTTTTGTAGAGTTTCTTCCTCTTGTGTCACTGTGACTCTCGAGCACAATAATAAACAGCAGAGTCCCCAGTTGTCAAGCTGTTCATCTGCAGATACACCTGCTTTCTGCTGTTGTCTCTGGAGATGGTAAACCGGCCTCTGAATGACTGAGAGTAGTAGATGTTGCTACTATCATATTGGATCCAAGCAATCCATTCTAGTCCTTTTCCAGCAGCCTGTCTGATCCAAGCATTACTATAATCACCACTGAACCCTGAGTATGTACAGGTCAGTCTGTGGGAGTCTCCAGGCCTTTTAA